CAAGATGCATTAAACCAGCAGCAAAGTCCACACTAAACGGGGGCCGCCAAGGGTAATGAAGTCATGGGGCGTGAGTATTTGCTTGGAAACAAAACAAAAAACAAACAACTTTGCAGGGGCTCCCTCTCATTGCAAGAGCGTATTGCTCACTCCTCTATACACATGATGGACATTATGCCGGAAGAACTACTATGGGGGTGTGGGCTGGGACTGAGAAAAACAATCCTAGAAGTGATGAAGACGAAAATGTTCTGAGCATTTATTTTACAGGCGCTCTGAAGCCACTCTGTCTGTAGGAGGGGAAAGTCCCCTTAACATGGCCTTTCAACAGTCACAAAAAAAGGGCACTTTTTAAGAAATTTGGTTAAGTCCCAATTCCCAGGGCTGGGTGGTCTTCGGGTTGCCATTTCCCCATCCCCCGCTTCCCAGGGCCCATTTTGAAGAACTGATTTGCTTATCAGCTACCACTCACTTCACCCCTAAATGCCAACAAGAAACAACAGCAGCGCCATCTTAATGACTGATTGTTTATCGCATGCCAGGCGCTCTGCTAAGTTCACTCCACGCACCGCTTCCTTTTAACTCCTAACAAGACCCGTCATTTGGGGTCTTGACTGGGGAGGTGACTTGTCCAAACACGGAAAATGGCAGAGCCAGGGTCTGCCCGGGATTGTATGACTTGAGAGCCCATGTTCTAGAACACAGGGCCCCAAGAAAGCCAGGCAGCCAATGCCTTAAGGATGTGTGCATGTGCTACCATAGGACAGGTGGCCCATGGGCCTGCGAGCATGCTTCTCCCTCTGTCTTCGTGGGCTACATGTCTGCCTGGACTCCAAGGAGGAGGCGGCTCCCTTAGACATTCCAGAACCACTTAGTCGAAGTCCCAGCAGTCGCTGCTCCTCTCTGCTTAGAGCTTACAGGTCATCCCCAGGCCCTCTTGCTCTTGCTTGATGCTAGCAACCATCCTCAGGAGTGAGCAGGGCAGGGAGGAGCTCCTCTCCATTTCACAGAAGGGGAAACTGAGGCACAGAGGGGGAGACCACCCTAAAGCCCCCCCCATCAGCCAGCAGTGGAGGGGACAGAGGCACAGGGAAGCAGGTGCTCTCCCTACACCACCCAGCGGACGTGGAAGTGGATATACCCTTTTTGGAGAGCAAATAGGCAGTTTCGTTCATCTTTTCAAAAAATACTCGAGTCTCTCTGATGTGCCAGTGATGGGGTAGGTGAAATCAATCATTTTCTATCAAAATTTAAAATGCCCCCATTCTTGGATGGGACCAGGAACTTGCTCCTGTGCATACAGATATTGACTGCCGTCCTGAGACACCTGCCAACACCTGGATCAAAGTCATCGCTAAACGCACTTTCCTGAGGCCTAGGGCCGGTTCTGCATGCTGTGGCCTCTACCTGCCTACCGGACCTCACCTCTCACCTCTCTCTGCTCTGGCCACACTGCCTCCATTCAACCTTTTGGCCCCTGCAGGTTCCTCCTACCACAGGGCCTTTGCCCATGCAGTTTCCTCTGCTGTGAACGTCCCTCCCCCTTTCAGTCTGTCATTTCTCTTCTTTGCCTCTTTCAGGCCCCCACAAGCCTTCCTGACTCCAGACCAGGTAGGGACCGCCCCCATTCCTCTGGAGGAATGGATCCCTAGAGCAAATCTCTCCTCTGGGGGACGGTAGGGGGCTGAGTGCTTGCCTCTGTGAGGAAGAGAGGAGAGTGGGCAAGAAGTTAACCAAGCCTAGTACTCTTACTTCCCTCTACCCCCTGGAGACCTGTGTTCTGCGCAATGCCTATTTTTAAAATCAAGGAAGTCTTTAAATAAGTGTAGAAGCTGTGCCTTCTCTATGGTGAGGAGGAAGTTTGAGGTTCACGAAACCAACCACTGCAACAGCAGACCAGCTCGGGTGGAAGAGGGTGCTCATGCGCTGAGGAGCTAGATGGGGACTGGTAACCTAGCCTGGTGGTCAGGAGCTCCCTTAGAGCTAAGCTCTCCACCTATGTCCCCCTTCCTAAGGTGTCAGGACCCTTCCTTACCTGATGGACAAGCTTCAGCCTGGCAAGGAGATCGTGAGGCTGGGTGTCCATGATGAGGGGAACTGTATTCACGGCAGCAGAAATCATAATAGAAGTAACTATCCACAGGGCACGTGCTATTTCCTGAGCTCTGTGCAAACCCTTTTATAACACGTGGCCCCCAAGAACCTCACAGCAACCCTATCTGGTGGGGGCTAAACTGTCTCCATTCACAGATGAGGAGACTAGGTACAGAGAGGCCATGCAACCTGTCCAAGGTCACCAAGCCAATTGAGAGGCAGAGCTGGGCTTCAAACTAAGAGTCAGGTCCTCTTGACCTTTCTCAACCTCTTGGGAACAGTGCCAGGCCCAATGCCTTGCTCATAGCTGTGCAAATCCAGGGCTCGGCAGAGGGTACCGGGCAAGTACCAGTAGTCCCCTACTTACTATATATTTGAGTTATGAGGAATTTCACTTACAACCGTGGTTTTGTTGCTGTTGTTTGTAACATATACTACACACCATGTCACACAGTGCATAATATTCTGACGTTGTCATTCTCAGATGTTCAATGTTCTGATTTCTAAAGATACTGATAATAAAAGGCAATAAAAATGAAAACTAAAAAAAAAAAAAAGAAGTATTCAACTTAAGTCAGAACCGACTTACGACAGTGTCGTTGGAACAGAACCCCGCTGTAAGTCAGGAACGACCCATATTTCTTAGTAAGAAATACAATTTACAGCTGCCTCTTAGTGAACACATATATATGCATCCTTTAACTGGCACTAAGGTTACCATGTGCAATATGCTCTCAGGTTTTCCATTTTATTCTATTCCATTTCTTAAAAAGCTAATTACAACCCACTCAATGGATTCCAGACCCCTCAATGAATCAAGATCCCTAGTTTCAAAGACACAGGTATGAGTGCACGTGCCCTGCCCATCTCCCTGGGGGAAGGGAAAATAACAGCTGCCAGAGATGTAACATCCTACCCAACGTCTGTGTCATCTGTCATGTCCACTGGGAAGCATATGTCCTGGTACCATTTGCTTTATGAGAACACAAAAATAAAAAGTGAGCTGTTTAGGTAGACGTGGCTGGAGAAATGCAATCATCTGAGATGAGGGAAAGGGCAGCTGATGGGCTAAACAGCCAATCTGTCTTCAGGGCAGAGCCAATGCCAACACACTTTGTCTTGAGGGTTTGCTGTGCTGGGTACCCTGCTCAACGCTCCCCAGCCATGATCTTGATCGATCCTGCCCATGACTCCCTGAGGCAGGGCCACTGCTCCCATTGTACAGAAGAGGAAAACTGAGGCTCCGAGCGGTTGGTCCTCAGTAGTCATGGATTCCAGATGTGCCTGGCGCACGGCTGGTGCTTGAGACACATCTGTTAGATGAGCACATGGATGAGGGGAGGAATCCCTGAGCCGCCCAAGTCCTCCCCTGCTGCCTGCTCCCCTCCTCCAGAGGCTGTTCCTCTGGGAGCCCCATCCTGACTCTGAAATGGATCACATCTGAAAAGTGCACGGGGCAGAACTGCAGAGCGATTCAGGGCATGGGAGCCAGAGGGGACGTGTCTGCCACTCTGACAGCTGTGGAACATGGGGCAAGCGGCTAAAGCCCGCTGTGCCTCAGTTTGCCTATCCATAAATTCGTAGTGCAGCTGTGAGAGGTAAAGATGAATATACAACACATCTCCTCATTTCCAAATAAAGGGCAGGCTCTCAGGAAAAAACAACAAAAAAATATACAGAGAGGCCTGAGCTTGTGCGTGGTACAGGCCAAGTACTCAACAGATGCTAGCTGTTATTGTTATTAATATTGTTACTACTACAACCACAGAAAGAGTCCCTGGATGGCAGAAAGGGGCTCTGGTGGCACAGTGGTTAAAGCATTTGGCTGCTAACCAAAAGGTTGGTGGTTTGAACTCTACAGCTGCTCTGCAGGAGAAAGATAAGGTAGTCAGTCCACTTCTGTAAATATTGACAGCCTCGGAAACCCTATGGGGCAGTTCTACTGTGCCCTAAAGGGTTGCTATGAGTTGAAGTCAATTCAGTGGCAGTGGGGTTTTTGGTTTGCCCTCACTGGGCTGCTGACCTTCATATCTGCTTCACAGACTCCACCCCCTCACACTTCTGCTACCCTGAGCATCTAGCACTGCCCTGGACACCTCTCCCTAGCCAGGACTCCAGAAGCTCCAAGCGAACAGCTAAAATGGCAGTCGACACTTCTTTCCATCTTGTCTACACCCCTTCACAACTGGTGTCCCCCAAGCCTAACAAACCTACTCCCTGGATATCGAGGACAGAGTTGAGTAAAAGCCTTAGGAGTCAGGCCAGAGTTGGAATTCTATGCCTGCCACTTCCAAGCTGTGTGATTCTGGACAAAAGGCATTACTGCTCTCTGCTCAGGTTTCCTCATCTGTAGAATGGGCGGCCAGGAAAAACCTCTTATGGGTCCAGTATTTGCCTAGCTTAGTGCCTAAGGCACTTGACTGCTAACCAGAAGGCTGGAGGTTCAAACCCACCAGCCACTCCTCGGAAGGAAGATGGGGCAATCTACTTCTGTAGTGATACTGCCTCGGAAACCCAAGGAAGAGTCATCCGACTCGACGGCACATAACAACAACTGTGAGCCTCGTCTCACTGAATCCTCCCAACAGTCCTTCAGGGGCAGGGCTGTAAATAATCTTTCCTCCATTTTCCAGATAAGGAAACTGAGGCTCAGGGAGGTAAAGAGCCTAGTGCAAGAACACATGGTCATGGAAATGCAGAGCTGGGGCACGAACATCTGATTTCTGACTGTCAGGCTGACTCAAGGTTTTGTGAGGCCTGTCTGTGTTTTTCACCTTTCTGACCTCCAACACTATGAGATGAGGGAAGCACCCTGGACTGTTGAGCTCCCTCTAGCCAGTCTGAAAACAGAATTTTCTCAAGGTGAAGAGGTCCTTCAACACCACCAGGCCCCAAAACCCATTTACCTTTTCATCCCAGGTGGCCATTTTTCTGTGACCGCTGGACCTGGAAAAGAAGAAAACGTGTGTCTAGAGCTGTCATCCTGCGGTCATTTCTGTGCGGTATTGCAATACTTTTTTATAAACTACTTTTAATTTGTTCACATTGTCTGAAAAGAGTATAACCCTCAAAGTATATGTTGAAAGCCATCCATCAAATGTATAGACCCCAAAGAACTGAAAATAGATGCTGAACAGATAACGTGTACACACAGTTCACAGCAGCTATTTACAATAGCCAAGAGGTGAAAACCACCCAAATATCCACCAACAGATGAAAACACAACATCTGGTCTCTATGCAGACAATGGGATCTTATTCAGACATAAAGAGAAATGAAGTGCTGATACACGCTACAACATAGATGAACCCTGAACGTATGTTGAGTGAAATAAGGCAGAAAGAAAAGGTCATATATTGTATGATCCCGTTTCTATGTTACATCTGGAACAGGCAGACTCACACAGAAAGCAGATTACTGGCTGTCAAGGACAAGGAGGGAGAGGAAAGGGAAGTAACTGCTTAGTGGGTATGGGGTTTCCTTTTGAGGTGATGGAAATGTTCTGGACTAGACAGAGGTGGTGGTTGCATAATATTGTGAATGGACTAAATGACACTCAGTCATTCACTTGAAAATGGCTCGTTTTATGTTCTGTAAATTTCATCTCAATTTTTTTTAAATAGTCTGTACATTTGGCTGCTAACCACAAGGCTAGCTGTTCAAACCCATCAGCTGCTCCATGGAAGGAAGATGTGGTAATCTACTTCCATAAAGATTTACAACCTTGGAAACCCAATAGTGGTGGCTATAAGCCAGAAATGACTCGATGGCAGTAGGTTTGTTCATTTTTCTTTTTTTTTTTAGTTACAACTTTGAGATTATTCTAGAAAAGCAGCAAAGAATCTAAATGCCCTTCAGTGAAAATCTGGTTAAATCAATTCAGCTCATGACAACTCTAGTGCTGCAAAAAGCTGACACACAAACATGGAAAGATGTCAGTAATATAGTAAGGCAAAAAAATCATGCTACAATATAGTGTGTATAGTACAAGATTATCTATGTTAAAAATTACATATGTATTGTTTTAAGTTTAGAAGGACATAGCAAAATTCTTTCACAGTGGTTATTGCTGAAGAAAAAGGGAGCGATTTTTTTTTCCTTATGGACAAGAGGATGATTATTTTCCTTTTGTTTCTGGAAAGTCTAAACTTTTATGATTCT